AGTACAGGGTTCATAGCCACATTAACTATTCCTGTTCCGGAAAGATCGGGAAACTTCAGTTTTGTTTTCTCAAACATTAGAGAGAGCATACAGGGTTCATAGCCACATTTTAGTTAAAAAAATAAGCACCTATAAGCACTTTTCAAGCACATTTTAAGAAAAAAAATAAGCACCTGTCTAATTACATCATACACAACTGCATAACCTTAAAAATTAGACTTGTAATTTAAAATATGAGAAATGAAGTACTTATTAAGAGAGAATAAGCATTACCTCAACCATGGAAAATAATTACTTTTTTTTGTTTGTTTGTTTTTAATTTTAAATAACAGTTCAATTTACAGAACTAGTTTACAATGAGAGAAAAAAAAAAAAAAAACTATGAAGAACTAAACTATATTACAAGATTTAATGATGAAATTTCAGTTCAAAATAGAGAAAATAAATAATAATAAGGCATATTTATTGTATTTGCTTGGAATCTAATAATAAATACAATTAATTTTTCCACTCATATTGATATTTAAATAATTAAATCTAAATTCTGAACATTTTCTAAATTTTCATTGTATATCAGTTTTCTCTTAACAGATATTGCAAGCAAAGTAATTTAAGTAAAAAAGAGGAACATTTCTGAAATCAGAAGACAGAAATTTGCTTCATGCAGTCATCTTTAACAGTAAAAGTTTAACTAACCCGCATACTTGGAATTGGCGAATGTTCGGACAGTCGAGGGTAACTTGAAGGAGTGGAGGGGGGGATGACTGTAGCCGCTCTTTAGATTTTTCCGCTAAATAAATGCTTTTGACATTTCAATATGTGCATCATATAAAAATAAACCAACGGATCTAAATAATATTCTGCTTAGCAAGAGCACAGTAAAACTCATTCAGTGAGTAAGTGTTCATAAACAACTCCTCAGTTAGTAAGTAAGTGTTCATAAACAAATCTTGGACTGAACATCAAAATTAATTATCTCTGCAAAATATCGCAAACGTTATTGCGCATTACGTGCACCGTAATTCTTCCCTACGTGATATTACGCAATCGGAATCAACAACTGCCGGTATTGGGAGAATAAAGAACTTAATAACTGGTGTTTTAAAACTTGGTGTTTTTCATTCTAATTTTCAACAGACGGCGTTAAATTTCCGGAATAGAATCATTCTTCGCTTGGGTTGGTAGACCGCAGAACTTTTAGTCCTATTCAATCCAGATTGGAAAGTGACCAAAAAAAAAGTTAGCATGACAACAGTTATTCTTGAACTGAATATTCTCCCACTAATAGGAAATACATTCAGATAAGATAGAAGAATAAAAACAGGCTTTGGTTTCATTATAGGTTATTGGTTTCATCATATTAATGTGAGGGCTATATTCCTTAAAAAAAAAAAAAAAAAAAAAAAAAAGAAGGATGTGTTTTTGTTTGATGGAGTTTTTTGATAGAAATTAGTTTGTATCCATTTGATACATGGAGAGAAGATCTGGAAAACGCTAAAACAGCGAGTCTTTTCACTGAGAAAAATTAAAAACAGCTAGAGCATCATATCTCTAATGCTTGGATAAAACTAGCATATCTGTCAAACGTATCAAAGCTAAAAATCAAGAGAATTTTCTTAGCATCAAAAATAATTTTTAAAGGATAAAAAGTATAAAAATTTAAAATGTTTTAACATAATGACCTCAAATTCAGATAGTACAAAAATACTAACACATGATTATTTACATCATTTTACAGATTTTGCTTATTTAATAGAGAAGCATTATAATTTTGTTCATAGCAATTGCCACAAAATATGTTTTTGCTAATGACAGTTTTCCCAGTGTGTCACCAATAATTTTGGGTTTAAATATAGTCCTTGTTCTCTTGAACTCTTTTGCAACTAGCAAAACTGAAAATTCTCTTGAACTCTTTTCTAAATTTTCATTGTATATCAGTTTTCTCTTAACAGATATTGCAAGCAAAGTAATTTAAGTAAAAAAGAGGAACATTTCTGAAATCAGAAGACAGAAATTTGCTTCATGCAGTCATCTTTAACAGTAAAAGTTTAACTAACCCGCATACTTGGAATTGGCGAATGTTCGGACAGTCGAGGGTAACTTGAAGGAGTGGAGGGGGGATGACTGTAGCCGCTCTTTAGATTTTTCCGCTAATAAATGCTTTTGACATTTAATATGTGCATCATATAAAAATAAACCAACGGATCTAAATAATATTCTGCTTAGCAAGAGCACAGTAAAACTCATTCAGTGGAGTAAGTGTTATAAACAAATCCAGTTAGTAAGTAAGTGTTATAAACAAATCTTGGACTGAACATCAAAATAATTATCTCTGCAAAAATCGCAAACGTTATTGCGCATTACGTGCACCGTAATTCTTCCCCTACTGATATTACGCAATCGGAATCAACAACTGAGGTATTGGGAGAATAAAGAACTTAATAACTGGTGTTTTAAAACTTGGTGTTTTTCATTCTAATTTTCAACAGACGGCGTTAAATTTCCGGAATAGAATCATTCTTCGCTTGGGTTGGTAGACCGCAGAACTTTTAGTCCTATTCAATCCAGATTGGAAAGTGACCAAAAAAAAAGTCCGTTGCTTGTTTTGCAGCGAACTGTAACAGTTTCAATATTCAAGATTTTGCGGAGAAAGGGGAGACCTCCCAACCTTCGTACTGTATAATATATTGGCCAAAAATATGAAATTATTTTGACTATTTGATTACTTTATTATCCCTTTATTTAAGCCATTCCGAATATTATTCCTTAGAAAAGCTAATCTGTGTTAAAACACAACCATTTTTGGAAGTTTACTATACTTCAGCAGTTACTGCAACTATGTTATTATAAACATTTATACATATGCTCATAATATGAGCATAACAATCATAATAAACGCGAATATGACCTGACCAAGCAGAACGAGAATGCAAATTTTTAAGATCTTGATAGAAATTCAAACGTGTGTAGTATTTGGGTGGGAGGAAAAGAATGCTGAATGTAGCGGAATTTTCTACTGCTTTCGCAATTCTTTGACCATCGTGCACACCATGTTAATGCAGAGAAAGGGGGAAAAAGCTATTTCCGGGAGTATGACTCACCATCTGGCATTCCATATTAGGAAGAAAAGTTGTTTATTTAGTTTCGGCTTTGGTATGGGTAAAAATAGCGCGTTCATTAAAAAAAAAAAAAAAAAAAAAAAAAAAAAAAAAAAAAAAAAAAAAAAAAAAAAAAAAAAAAAAAAAAAAAAAAAAAAAAACAAAAAGCAAAAAATAAGCACACTAAAAAACAAAAAATAAGGGCTTTAAAGAAAAAGTAAGCACCTATAAGGGCCTTTATATTTTATTTTCAAATATAAGGACTTATAAGCACTTATAAGGACCGCTACGAACCCTGTAGTAGCTTAATATACCATAACAACCTAATGACTAACCATTAAGGAAAAACCATGTGCCAAATTCCAGATTTCTTAAAAATCAATTTTCCAACATGAATGAATTTCATTATTAATGTCAATTTTGACAGATGTATCCAAGATTATGGTTCAATATTTTGAAGTTAACCAAGCAAAGGAGTGTATAATATGTTTAAAAAAAATCAGCTCTTTTTAAAGAATTACCTCTATTGATGCAATTACCTCTATTGACAAGATGAAGGAAAAATTTCAACAATGGATTATTTTCAATGAAGGAAAAATTTCAACAATGGATTATTTTCAATCTTTTCACATTACTCTGAGACATAAATATTGCATAAGAGAGCCTATAACCCTTTCAAGACCACTTTCAACCATTAAAGGCAAACATATATGATATCAAAGATATGCTCTCCCTTTTGTTATGTAACTTATTCCAATTTCACTACATTAGCCACACTAGATTTAGTTAAAATAAAGCACAAGTGCAATGCATGTAATAAAAAGTTCTACAGAATGGTCTGATGTTCTGTTTTTGAACTCTTTTATTCTTCTGAAAAATGCCACATTCTGTTGCCGATGTTAACATATAAGGGGATTCAGAATTTCTAAATAGCCTCATAAAAAAAACTGGAAAAAAAAAAAAAAAGAAGTACAGCTTTTTAAACGTAAAAATGTAACTGTAAAGTTCTGCTCCACTCAATAAAGAAATGCAATAATAAATAAAGAGGGTTTGGGAAAAATTTAGCTTTGCCTAAGCAGCTGGCACACCTTAAGCCCAATCTGACATTGAGAGCTATTTGCCTACAGGAATGGATGCCTTCATGGAGAACCTTTTAAGAGATACAGGCTTGTAGTGACATTAGACACGGGAAAAACCATAAAAACTCTCATCAGCCAGTCCATTCACTGAAATAAAAAAAACCAGGTCAAACTACCAGTGTTCAATGGCTTTACTGCTCAGCCACTCATCAACTAGGCCCAAATAAACATAAAAAAGGAGGTGTCCATATAGGCAATGGTGTTATCAATATTTGTTAATACTAATAAAACATAATAAAAACTAAAAATTCTGATTAATACCCTGCAGTCGGGGGAAAAAAAAAAAAAAAGCTTCAAAGATGAAAAATGCTACCTTTTGTTCAAATCTGCTCTGTAATTTAATCTAACTCATTAAAGAAATGAGAAGAAAATCGAAAACCAAAATAAGATAGAAAGATGATGGTGAAATCCTGAACACCGTCATCTTTCTATGTTAAAATCTTTCTATCTAAAAAAATTGCAAGGGCAAAATTTGATAAACAGCAATAACTACATAAGAAGACTAGAGCAAGCTTTTTAAGAGGACAAAAAATAACAATGGATTATTATTTAAAAATGGTCCCAAAAATATCTTAGGTTGGAGTAGATTTAGAAACTATGCAAAATAAGAGTTGCTTTTTCTTGGTCAATTTTAAATTATGTATTAACCTTTTCCTTCCCAATTTAAATGGATTATCAGCCAATCATATAATGATGATCATGATAATATACATAAAGTATGCGGAAAACACACACACCAAAAGGAAAATAATAGCTTACATACCTCAGTTTCATCCAAAGAAGAAACATTTGAACGCAAAAATATTTCAGGAACTGTCATTGCTGAAACTATTGCTATGATGGAAGAAATGCAGTTGTGTTTAAAAGAAAGCAGCAACATCTTAGCATAACGTGGGCTAAGTGGAAATCGAGACATAGCTTTACCAAGAGGAGTCACTTTAGCTGAGTATTCCCCTAAACAAATTACATTAATAAATTTCTTAAAAAATTTTTAAAATATAAGTTTTACTTATTTAAAATAAGTAATACTAAAAGTACAATCTATTAATCTCTCACACGTTTTATTTATAACTTTAAATTCACTGCTAATAATAATGAATCCTTTAACCTTACAATTCAGTATAAAGACTATGGTTTTGTAGCAGCATTCTCAAACCAATAGAAATTTTAAACATTAAACTTACATTTTTCAATATCTTTGTATCTTTCTCCCTTTTTTAAGTCTTGAAGAGCACCTAACAAAACAAGCCTTCTCTCAGCAGCCTGGAAAATTATAGCAAGAAAATAAAATATATTGTCAAAAAATTTATAAAATAAATACATATCTTACATGCAATACATTGCAGCATGCTGCCCAACCAGTTAGAATGATCAGTGACTCTAACTGCCATAGTGATGGCCCTGGGTTCGATTTCCAGAAAAGGCATGGCTTTAACTATTTGTCGCTTCACAGGAGGCAACCGTGGCCACTTATTAGGTGCTTCCATAATGAAATGGCCACCAATTCCAGACCTTGTAGTGGTGCAATGCTAATGGCTATTAAATAATGTGCCCGGCCATAAAAAAATGCAGCATATAAAAACAAAGATTCTAAACCTTTAGATGTATACCAATAAGTACCAGTAAGTTTTTAATTACCAGTAAGTAGTTATTAAAAAGTTTACATACAATATAAATGAAATAAGTGAGATCCTCTCCTCTCTCCCATTAAAGATAAAACTTAAAAATCATGCACTAGACATCATATCTTTTTTGACTCTCCACTAGGTTAACCAGTTATATTAAACAATGATATAAGAAAATAAAAAATAATTAATTGCGTATCTTCCTGCAAAGTAACAAATTCAAAAGAGCAAAAAGTGTAGAATCCAATACTAAGTATTTAAAAACTTAACAAGATTTATGATTGCTTCAATATTAAAAACCAAATATAAAATTTTACAGTTTACTTATTATTATGGCTATATGAAAATTTACTTATTATTATGGTCATATGAAATCACCTTCATTCAGTTGTCTTTATTATTAACAAAATGGAAGATGGATTAAAGTTAGCATGACAACAGTTATTCTTGAACTGAATATTCTCCCACTAATAGGAAATACATTCAGATAAGATAGAAGAATAAAAACAGGCTTTGGTTTCATTATAGGTTATTGGTTTCATTATATTAATGTGAGGGCTATATTCCTAAAAAAAAAAAAAAAAAAAAAAAAAAAAAAAAAAAAAAGGGATGTGTTTGTGGATGTTTTTTGATAGAAATTAGTTTGTATCCATTTGATACATGGAGAAGATCTGGAAAACGCTAAAACAGCGAGTCTTTTCACTGAGAAAAATTAAAAACAGCTAGAGCATCATATCTCTAATGCTTGGATAAAACTAGCATATCTGTCAACGTATCAAAGCTAAAAATCAAGAGAATTTTCTTAGCATCAAAAATAATTTTTAAAGGATAAAAGTATAAAAATTTAAAATGTTTTAAGATAATGACCTCAAATTCAGATAGTACAAAAATACTAACACATGATTATTTACATCATTTTATACAGATTTTGCTTTATTTAATAGAGAAGCATTATAATTTTGTTCATAGCAATTGCCACAAAAATATGTTTTTGCTAATGACAGTTTTCCCAGTGTGTCACCAATAATTTTGGATTTAAATATAGTCCTTGTTCTCTTGAACTCTTTTGCAACTAGCAAAACTGAAAATTCTCTTGAACTCTTTTGTTATGAGGAAGTATCAAGATAGCCAACATTACTTTAGACAAATAGATCTACATACTTTAAAATTCCATCAACATCTTTCAGATTTTCAATTAAATTGCATTGTTAATCAAAGCTTCAAAATTTTTTCAAAGCACTTTTCACACCATTTAGCAATGATAGAAGCGTATACAATAACTCAATCTCCTTTTATACTTATTGGCTGTTGTGCACATTATGTCTTTCAATTTACCTTTGATCTTTGTAATGCACCTTCTTTTAATTAATCAGTTATTATGATTTTTTTATCTTTCAACCTCCCACACTTCTTACCAGTATGAAAATTAGCTTTAACAATATTTAAGTCAAAGTTTTTAATCTTAAGAGAATGAAAGAGCTTTTAGCACTTGCATCCAATATTAATTTTTCACCAGCTCTATTTAAAAGTGGTATTCCAACTTTGGCATTTTCTCACTAGCCAATACTTTAAAATTACTTGCTGATAAAATAATTGAGCAGATTATAGCTTATTTTATTGAATGTGTAGTTTTAGACTATGTACCTGTGTTTGAATTAATTGTCTGTTATTGCTTAATTAATAAACAGAGCCACAAGTGGTGATTTGTCTGTAGCATAAGTTGTGCCTTTTATGTTCAATTCAGATCAAATAAGAAGGTTACTTTAAAACCTTTTTCAGACTTTGTGACTATTTAAGCTGTAGTGACAATTCACAATCTTGTCTAATAGGATCTACAGAACTTCAGCTGTTTCCAAATCAATAGCAACCCCATATAGTCACTGGCTAACCGAAACATGATATTTTCAGAGATATCTATTCTCACATGGCATTAAAGTAGACTACTATTCTTGAAACATATTTACCATATAGCATATACCTATAATTTCAAATTACATTTTTTAGTTTTCAGGTATATTTGTTGTATAATGCACATCCTTTTTCTTTGTAAAAAAAAAAAAAAAAAGAGATATATACATCACACATGTATACAAAGATACATACATCACACATGTATACAAAGATAAATACATCACACATGTATACAAAGATACATACATCACAAATATATACAAAGATACATACATCACACATGTATACAAAGATACATACATCTAACGTAATACATAATACAAACATTACACATAATGCAAAGATACATACATCATACATGTATGTATCTTTCACGAAAATGAGAGATACATACATTATTTCATGAAAATGAAAGATGCATACATGTGTGATGCTCTTACCCTTTGAAGTCAAACATTCGAAGATTTTTCCCAGGTTTTCCAACAACAGTATATTGAATTGACTAAGTGAATAATATGTGTATGTGGGAAATGGGAGTAAATAATTCTGAAATGAGGGTGCATTGTATTCAATGCAAATGTGTAGAAGAATGTTATACTAGGGTTTTGAGAAAAAGGGGACACTGAGGTAAACATACACTTCCGAACCAAATGAATTCATGGAATTAGCAGTTAGATGTTTTTTCTTTAATTATTTGAAGCAGTGATTCTGAAGTGAACATTGAAGGCAGGGAAGGAAAAGGAGGCCAAATGTGTCATACCAGTCTAAAAATAGTGTGTGAGAGGATAATAAAAGCATGGAATAAAATTAAACCCCATATAATAAGTCAAAAGTCATTAAAAGTGTAGTATATCTAACAATCTAGTTGGAACGGAAAATGATTATCAGTTTATGGATCAGAATAACAGTCATGGTGAAGATGAAACAGAATTCGATGATACACCTGGAGATATAACAGAAGATGACGAGCTTTTCGTATTATCAGATAAGGAAATTTTTTTTAATTCATAAGGAATGCTATTTAAAAAAAACATTTAGGTACATGCAGAAATATATTTTTTTTAATACTCACCTTTTCTTATTTTTTAAATCTATCATCTTTATATCTGATATATGTACACCCATAATTTTCAATCTTATACTTTGCATTAAAAGTGTGCATTATATGCCAGAATATATGGTATATAAATATTTTATTTCTTTTTAAATAGGTGATCCAGACTTTGCACAAAAAATGATTCTGATAGCGTCTGGACTTTTTGCAATTGCGTATACAATTTACAAATGAATAATATATTGTTTCTAACAGAAAAAGAAATCTATCCTGAGACCTTATTACATATTATCAGAATGCAGTGGTATCATGCTCATTTCTCTTATGAAAATGCAGCTTTCCATGATATACTACAAAAAGAATTTAGATAACTTGATGCTTAGATTCATTACTCATGTAATCTAAGTAAACAACCTCAAATTTTTCCTAAAAAAATACAGCAATGGATCTGTCATGATTCCAGCTGGATTTAACTTAGAAAGCCAATGTCATGAGCAAGTACAGTACAAAGTCTTTAATCCAGACTCGTCGGGACTTCGCCGATTCTGGATTAGGAGTTTTTTCGGATTACAGATCATCAATTTAAATCTGGTGAGATGGCATGCAGAAATTATAAAATTAAAATTATGAAACTGTAATTTATGAAATAAAGAGCAATTATGATCTGAAGGGTATCAAAATTTACAAAAAAAAAAAGCTTAATATTTATTTGTTTACTTTATAAACATTTCTTTCAATGTAAGTTGTTTAAGTTGCTTCGTTTTTTGTGTTAATACTTTCTCTTTAATTCTATAAACTGACATAATTTCTTGTACTATTCCACTGTTCAAGTCTTGTAATTGCTGTGTCGAGAATACCAACTTACTTGTCAATCGAATTTTTTTCGTTTTCAATAACCTCTCTGTTACTTTCTTCACTATCAGAAGCGATACACTGAAACATGCTTTCGCTTTGTAGATCCTTTGGCAGCTTCAGAATCGGAAACACTTTTTGACATAACCAAAAGTTCAAGCTTACTTTTTATAAAATTGCTCTTAGTCTGCAAAAAAAATAAGCCGGATCCCATTAGAAGGTTAAGAAACAACGCAATCTGCAATATTAACTGAAATAGATAATTAGATAATTTTAGTCTAGCTTATACTGTCCGTTATACATTAAACGCACATGCGTAAACATATTATGCACAAGCGTAAATGCATGTGCACATGCATAAACGTATTATGCGCATGCGCAGAAAGTTTGTAGCTTTGAGGTCCAGATTATAGATCATTCCGGATTATGAACGTTCGGATTAAAGACTTTGTACTGTAGTTGAAAATATCTCAGAAGAGCATTTACTTTTGTTTTATGAATTTCTAGGGAATGCAGCATGGCAATTCCAGCAGGATAATCTCGATATATAGCATATGGATAATCTGCTTATACATAAGCCAAATATTTTGTAAATCTCGTTAATTCCCCAAAATAACAGCATGTTGAACTTGCCATTATGCAGTCCAGAACTTAATCCAGAATCTTTGGCATAGAGTCTACAATGCATATGCTAATAGGAGACAATAGGCTTTGTTTAATCATTGATTACGTTTATCTTCTGATGTCTCATGAAGGTACAGGCCAGTTTTATGTGCTGCACTCTGTATAATTATATTTGATGTATTACAAACTAAACAATGCTTTCAGTATCAGTTGATGATCTTGATAATTAGAAGAAACATCACAAAATTTTGCTAAATCAAGAAGGTGGGAATAAAATGAAAAAACTGTGAGGATTCAAATTACACATGCTTCGAAAATTGTACTAGATATGCTTATCCTATATTTACGATTTCTTAATAACTTCCTTTATACAAATACAATGAAATTTTTTAAAAAAACACAACCATTGATATATCTATATCGGATAAATATGAATACAGTCAAAAAGTCATTAATTCGAACACCCATAATCCGGAATGATCTATAATCCGGACCTCAAAGCTACAAACTTTCTGCGCATGCGTCGTTACGTGCGCATACGTTTTACGTGTGCTCAAGACCTTTACGGCTGTGACTTTGCCTGTGCGCATGCGCATAATACGTTTACGCATGCGCGTTTAACGTATAACAGGACGGTATAAGCTAAAATTATCTAATTATCTAATTCAGTTAATGTTGCAGATTGCGTTGTTCCTTAATCTTCGAATTGGATCAGGCTTATTATTTTTTGCAGACTGTTAGAGCAATTTTATAAAAGTAAGCTTGAACTTTCGATTATGTCAAACAGAATTTCCGATATATATTTACTAATATGTACAGGATCTACAAAGCAAAAGTATGTTTCGAAGTCCATTAAACAAAAAGTGGAATTGCTGCAAAAAATGGAAAAAGGCATATCCTTTGTTTCTTAACCATTCCGAAATCTGTTTATCAATTTCATGCTGCTCTGCTCTGCTGCTCGCAGCGCGCAATGAACTGGAAGTTGATTTGTCAGCACTATCCTTATCTTCAGGGCAAATGTTTTTATTTTATTCGGCTTATAATTCCTTACTAAATGTAGTATTTCATCTCGATGTATTCCGTCTTTGATATGATTTAAATCAAATTCCTTGTCATTATAAATATCACAAGTACACATCAAATAGTTTTCTGGTTGCAATTTTCTAATTTCGACTATGCTTAATGTATGCTTTACGCATGTGCTTGTTGAAAGAAATGTTTAATAAAGTAAACAAATAAATATTAAGCTTTTTTTTTTGTAAATTTTGATACCCTTTAGATCATAATTGTTCTTTATTTCATAAATAACGGTTTCATATTTTTAATTGTATAATTTCTGCATGCCATCTTACCAGATTTAAACTGATGATCTATAATCCGGAATCGCCAAAGTCCCGACGAGTCCGGATTAACTACTTTTGACTGTATTGATAAGAATAATGTCAAATTTTTTATTTTGCATTCGTTAGTACTTTGTCTTTTTTGTATGAGTTCAAATTTTATGTAGGCTATAAGCTCTCTTTTTTACACCCTAAATTTAAATCGTTTTAAAAAAAAAAACTACTACTTTTAAAGCATTATTATCTGGTGGACAAGGAAAAGGGAAGTTCACAACTCTATCAATTCCAAGAGCCTAAACCATATAACAACAAATAACAGTCACTAAAGAGTAATTTAATTTTTCTTTTGAAGTACAAAAATACTTTCCTCAGCAAATTACATAATTGAAAAACAAAAATAACATATAATAAAATTAATAGGTAAATAAATAAATAGAAATTAAGAATTTTTTTTCAGAAAACATAATAAATGGGAAAAATAATTACTTTCATTTGTAACAAAATGTCATCAACTGGTATTCTCTTAACTTCAGGAAGAGAAAATCTGGAAACTCATGTTCAAACACTGATGAGGAATACAACCTATAATTAATTAAATACATTAAAACATTGTTTACTGAATGAGAAAATTGCTCAGGTTGGATTTTGGATTAAGCAACATCCACAATACTGGACAACAGGTGTTCGGTGTCTGAAAGAGTATTGCTTGGCAGTATTGTTTTACGCCAAGCACAGTTTGCCTTTTAGTGTAACCCTAAAGTTATTTCGTTTTTTGCTGATTAGTATGTATGCAGATTGTCTTGATGTAAGAGCATATGGTTGCTCGCTTTTAGCTAAGTGACATAGGTAACTATAAGCACATGCGCGTGCTAGTATTCAATAATATTGTTTTTCAAAATCGTAAAAACAACCTTGTATTTAGCGTAAGTATATTGAAACACTAAATCAATTTCGAGGGCAGCTAAAGGTCCCTCCTCATCAGGAGAAAGAAATAACTAGAAAGAAGAAAAATAAAGGGGAAGGAGTCTCAGAAACACGTGGTCCTTATCAGCTCTGCACGTGGTTATAACCGGATTTTTAATCAGAGTTACACTGGCCGCCTACTTTTACTGAGCCAGGCTATCTGATTAAACAAAGGACAAGAAAATTACCGAAGTTAAAAATAGTGAGCGAGGGGCACCTGCACCTTCACGCTCACAATCTGAACTTCGAATAACGGAAAGCAACCACTGAACGGATTTGTTTGATCAGATAGCTTGGCTCAGTAAAAGGAGGCAGCCAGTGTAACTCTGATTAAAAATATGGTTATAACCACGTGCAGAGCTGATAAGGACCACGTGTTTCTGAAACTCCTTCCCCTTTATTTTTCTTCTTTCTAGGTATTTCTTTTTCCTGATGAGGAGGGACCTTTAGCTGCCCTCGAAATTGATTGTTTCAATATACTTATGCTAAATACAAGGTTGTTTTTACGATTTTGATTGTCACATTAGCGTGTTTCTCTTCTAGTCTAATATTGTTTTTGTTAAAATAAATTTGTTATTGTTAACATTACAGTCCATTTACTGAAGTTAAGTTTCATTAAATAAGTTTGAACTATTTTCAGCATGAACAGTTTGGTCGCTTTCGCCAGAGAAGAATATGGCTACTAATATTGTTTCATTGAATCGCCAACGCCACGTAGTGAAAACGAAACTTGGAACTTTGATAAAATTCCTTGATGAATATAAAATGGAGGAGAATAAACTCAAACATGATGTTATTATGAAGACTAAATTGGATGTTTTAATGGAATTAAAATTTCGGATTAAACAACGCATAGTGGAATACACCAATTTACCAGGGAAAATTGATTTGAAAGATAATCTAAGCTTTACACAAGAATTGGAAGAAAAAATCGAACAGTTCGAAGTAAGATTTAGAATTTTGAATTTGGTATATATTTATTATTATTTTTTTTTAAATTAAACTCACCAATTCCTCATTTCACAACTTGAATTTTAGGTTTAATGCAAATAAAATGTGAATTTTTTTTTCCGATTTACTTTTTAAATTTGTATTTTTTAGTAATTTTTATAAATTTTTCAAAAAAAAAAAAAAAAAAAGTGAATTAAAAAATCTATAAAACTTTTACCATCTTAAAGTAGATGCATTTCTAAGCATACTTGCAGAAAATTATATTTTTTTATTCAAAATTTTTAAAGATAAATGTGATTCTATACATTGGCAATCTTGGAATTTGGTTTCTTGCTTTTATGCAATAATAATGCCAAATGTGGTTTCATATTTTATTATGGTTTTCAATGAATTGCCACAATGTACTTAAAACACACAGTTCAAAGGAATAAGTAGAACATTTTAAAGTAAGCATTTGAAGAAATGTAATTCAACTATGCAATTCAAACAATTAAAATGAATTCTAAAAAAAAGAAAAAAATATACTTAAATAATTATGATAAAAAAGTGTTGGGAGTACAAATAAGTCTCTGACGTTGACAATAAATGGTGCCACCAGTAAGTTATGGTTAAAATTGTCTGATGTAATATTGTAAGGTTGGACATCTGTTTACATAACCTTGAAATATTAACAATTTTGTATAGCCATCATATATTTTTTGTGTGAAAATGTTGAGTTTTGAGGCATTCATTTAGAAGAACTTTTGATTTACTTCTTTAATTTGAGGAAATCTGCATCTGAGGCACATCGATTGCTTATAGAAACATATAATGAGGCTGCCTTAAGTGAAGACTGCTTATAGAAACATATAATGAGGCTGCCTTAAGTGAAGACTGCTTATAGAAACATATAATGAGGCTGCCGCCTTAAGAAACTATTGTGATTGCTTCAAAAGTTTAAGAATGGTGAATTTGATGTTGAAGGAAAAAATTAGCAGAAGGATGAAAATGTTTGAAGATGCAGAACTGGAAGCATTATTGGATGAAGATTTGTGCAAAATGCAAGTAGAACTTGCATTTAGGTTAGGAGTGACTCAACAAGCAATTTCACATTGTTTAAAATCATTGAGAATGTTTCAAAAGCATGGAAATCGGGTTCCATATAAACAGAAGCCAATATTTTACATGTGAAATGCTGCTTCTCAGGCATAAATAAAAGGGCTTTTTCCATAGTACACTGGTGATGAAAAATGGATCTACTAAGATAACTCAAAAAAGAAGAAATCATAAGGCATGCTTTAATATTTACAGCCAAGCCGAATATTCATGGAAAAAAAATCATACTGTGTATGTGGTGGGATAAACTCAATATCATGTATTACGAGTTGCTCAAACTGAACGAAACTATTACTGGGGCTCTCTACCAAACACAACTCATGAGACTGAGTCGAGCACTCAAAGAAAAATGCACCCACTCCTAACTCAGACATGAAAAATTTATTCTCTTCCCTGATAATGCTTATTTACATGTTGTGGCGCGGATCAAAACCTAATCGGAAACACTTATGAAGAACTTTTCTCCCTCCTGCTGTATTCCCTAGATTTTGCTCATACGGATCATTACTTGTTTTGATTGATGATGCATTACCTGTCTCAGCAGTGCTTCACTTCATATGAAGACACCAAAAACTGGGTTGATTTGAGGATAGCCTTGAAAGATGAAGAGTTCTCCTGATGCGGTAACCATATGCTGTCAGAAACATGGGGGAAAATAGTGGCTGGTGATAGACAGTACTTTAAATAAAACATAATGTACTTTCATAATAAATGCCCAATTTATTATTAAAAAAAAGGCAGAGGATTATTTGTACTCTTGATAGAATATGAAGAAAATTATCTGAAAGAATAAACATTGTACCTCCTCCCACCTGCTTGTGCATAATGAAAGAGAAAGGGAAATAGCTTACCATAAATTAAGAAAAACTCTGTCAAATGAATTATTCTTGTTGCAAACTGAATAAAGTGCACCAAGATAAATTTTTGAATTTCTCTCTGGTTATATTTACAAATAATTTGAACCTACGACACAGTGTGCAATCAACTGGAAGTTGGAGCAGATGTTTTTATTTTATTTGGCTTATAATTCCTTACTAAATGCAGCATTTCATTTCGATGTATTCCGTCTTTGATATGATTTAAATAAAATTCCTCGTCATTATATATATCACGAATACACATCAAATAGTTTTCTGGCAATTTTCTAATTTCGACTATGCGTAATGTATGCTTTACGCATGCGCGCATTAAAAGAAATGTTTAATAAAGTAAACAAATAAATATTAAGCTTTATTTTGTACATTTTGATACCCTTTAGATCATAACTGCTCTTTATTTCATAAATTACGGTTTCATATTTTTAGTTTTATAATTTCTGCATGCCATCTGTAAAGATAGTGACTTGAACGTGAAATATATATAATAGGACAAGAACTTGCATTTTACGATGTGGCAACAAGAAGAGAATTCAGGAGATTTTTATATTTTTTGTTTAGAGAGTTTAATTTTTTAGTATTTTAATAGTTGTAAGAGTTTAACTGTAGTAGTTAAGAGTTTAAAATTTTAATAGTTAAGAGCTGCAGCATTTTATTTATTTATTTTTTTTTTTTTTTTTGCTTCTGTACTAAAATTCAAATAAAAGTATTTTGTTCATTCTGAAAATTTAGCTTTGTTCTTCCTACAAGGTTCAATATACGTTATATTGAAATAAGGAAAGGATTTTTACTGGCGCAGCCGGTAGGATCGGGGTTTCCCCGCATATAATTACGAACCAAAATAACTCAGGTAAGAGCTCAATTTACCTTGTAAACGTAAAATAATTAATTAAGATTACAAAAAGTTAATTATTGTTTCCATCATGGAATATTAGTTTATTTACTTGTCAAAGTAATGAATACGCCAGTGTTCAAATGTCATTTCATTTGACTCGCCAGAGTAGGTGAACAACACATTAAGTATTGATTCCACTGATTGACTTTTGTGCCAAATAAAATTAAATTCATTGTGAATTATATTTAAATAGAAAAAGAAAAAAAAGAAAAAAGAAAACAAATTGCTTTTTATAAAACTAAGAGTCTATTGACTGAATAAAATCAGAAATCAGTACTTGGCGTCAGCCAGCTGCTACAGTGTTACACATAGAAACAATTTTTTTTTTTTTTTTTTTGTTTTTTTGTTTCCCCAACGAAAGAAAAAACCGCAATCAGGGAGTTCATACTTTAACTAATGTTAAGGATAAATTGAAGGACGCATTAACAAGAAATTAGTTTATTTTTTTTTTTAAATTAAATTTGCAAAGAATACAGTTTATTTAAAATTGAGACATGGCTTTTATGGGATGTGGGAAAAAAGAGGATTTGCTGGTTTTAGCTGCTGAATTAGAAATTCAAGTAGATCCAAGTATGAAAATTGTGGCGATAAAAAATGAAATAATTCAAAGTGATACATATGATGAAGCATTTGCTAAAGAAGTGTTTTTAACGATTATTGAAGAGAGGAAAAGAAAAGAAGAGGAACAGTGAAGAAAGGAGAAAGAAGAGATTGAGGAACAGCGAAGGAAAGAAGAGATTGAGGAACAACGAAGGAAAGAAGAATTAGAAGCACAGCAGCATGGAGTTTGAGCAAATAGAGTTTGTATTGAGAAAACTCAATATTGAATCTTGTGTTCGACTAACACAAACTCCGCCAACAAATGAAAATGGACATCATAATTTTGATTTAATTAAGCTCATTCCCAAATTCAATTTAAGACACGATGATATTGTGATTTATTTATCCTTATTTGAAAGACAAGCTAAAAGGACAAAGATTGATCCTAAAGATTGGGTTTCATGTTTATTGACTTTAGCCATCTGAAACCATTCAATTAATTGGTAGGGAATCTGAAGAAAATTTTGAAGATTATGAGTACATTAAGGCCATTTTATTGAAGAGATTTAAATTAAATCCTTCAATAAAATGAAAGCTTCAGAAAAAAATTTGTGATGCAATAAAAGAGCACTGAAAAATCATGGAGAGATTTTCGCTACGAAATTACAAGTTATTTTGAAGAATGGATCAATGGTCTTGAAAAAATGCATTAAGATAATAATTAAGATTTAATTAAGATTGTCAGAGCTTATTTTAACAACTAAATGCTTGCATAGTACAGTACAAAGTCCGAAATTCGGACTCGACGGGACTTCGGCGATTCCAGATTAGGGGCTTTTCCGGATTATAGATCATCAATTTAAATCTGGTAAGATGGCATGCAGAAATTCTACAATCAAAAATATGAAACCGTAATTTATGAAATGAAGAGCGATTATGATCTAAACGGTATCAAAATTTACAAAAAAAAAAAAAAAAAAAAAAAAAAAAAAAAAAAAAAGTGTAATATTTATTTGTTTACTTCATTAAACCTTTCTTTCAATGTAACTTTCTTCACTATCGGAAGTGTGCATGGACAAATGCTTTACTGGTTTTACGCGCATGCGTAGCAGAAGTGTGCATCAAATGCGCATGCGTAAGTTTGTGGCTTTGAGGTCTGGATTATAGATCATTCCGGATAATAGACGTCTGAATTATGGACTTTGTACTGTATTTTATTTTAAAACCAATTAAAAGCTAAAAAATACCATTTCAAATTTAATTTGAATACTTTTTGCTTTTATAATTATATTATTATTATTTCATTGGGGAGATTTTTGCAAGTTCAGTGACACATTAAAATTTCAGTACTTTCTTTAAAAGAGAGGTTTTGAATAAACAAATTTAGAGTAACAGTCCCAAGTCATACCACATGAAACAATCTCAAACTACTTCAAAAAATAGTTCATCAATTATATTTTGAAGATAAGAATTAAAATAATTTAAAGGAATGAAAATACAAAGCTGAGGATAATAATAAAACTTATTTTTAAAGATAATTCTTGCCTATAACAGTGTCCTCCTTCAGTTCGACCAGCACGACCAGCTCTTTGATTAGCAGATGCTTTTGATGCCCAAGTGATAGCAAATCCAGATATTCCACCAGCAAATTTGTCATATATTTTCACTTTAACCTAAAACATTCATTTTCATTATTAAATTTCATTACAATAACCAAAAAAGAACAGGAAAACTATCACTGCTTTTTTTTTTATGACAATGAAAAGTTATATTTCTGCGAAATAAGAAATATATCAGTTTTCTTACATAAAAATGCATAATTAAATGAACTTTACACTAAAATAATATACAATAGCTTTAGATAAAAATAACAAACATGTTATTGTAACAAACATAGCAGAACTAACCATTCTTTTTACACAACTGATATAATTGTATAAATGAACTAAAGTCTTGATATAATACAATTGATTAATACCTTAACTACTAGCACATCAAAATCACAGATTTTTCTCATGACAGAAATAAATTAATTACAGCAAATTCTGACATTAATTATAGCAAAGCACAGATACTTCATAGCAGACTTTTTAAAACAAAACTGACACGCAGATATATTTCACAAGAGGAAAACCATTTACCAGGAAATAACAGAGTATTAAGGTTTTAGCCATTAGGTTACTTCTCAGTATAATTAATATTAGTGTTCTCTTAGAAAATTTGCTTACAAGTCTCCAGACATGAAGCATAATATTTCCTAACAGCTTTTTTTATATGCAGAAAAACCAAGAAAAACCATACATTATGGAATTCCTTATAATCAAACTGCAAATACCTAATAAAAAAATCTGAGAACTCCAAATGCGACTTTTGTACTCACAACAGTTAGAGAGGAACATATGTTTTGTTTAAAGAGTGTTAGTCTTGACACTTTGATGCATCATTGACAAGAATGGAAAGGATAACTTAATATTTCATAATCAACGACAGCCAAATTAAATTATACTCACCTTGACAAGTAGTAAAAGAATAAAAAATAAAGCCATTAAAAAAACTGAACATTCTAAAAAGAGCTAACACAACTATTGCTAATTACACACTACAGTTATAATGATTACAGCCATTTTAAGTGCTTTCAAATGTTGTGTGTGATTTTTTTTTTTTTTTTTAAGTATACTCCTATTTAAATGTAACTATGAGATTTGACTGCATAATATCTGCTTGGCACTTGTATCAGATGTATCTACCAGTGCTCTGAATGTTATATTAAGATAAATGTGTTTTGCAGTGGCTCAAAAATGTTGACTTTCTGTTTATACAGAGATGATGGAATTATAAATCTCCAAAAAATTGCTTTTTGAAATCGCGATCAAGGTGCACAAAATAACAAGAATGTTACATATGCAAAGAATCTTACATATCTACGCAACTTATCTCAAAGCTTAAGGAAGAAAAAAAATTGCTAAACTGCAGGTAAAGCAATTTATCCTGAGCACAAAGATTCTGGATAACATGAGAGAATACTTATGAAAAGATCAATCATATCTTATTTAACCCTTTGCGGTGCATTATACGTTAACATCGGAATTTCAACAAAAAAAGTTGTATGCAGTTTATTTAGTCCTAAAGGAGTATACAGGTAAAATTTTGTAAAAATTGCACTTACCGTTTTAATTATGTGGGTGCCATTAGGTGGAACACTACGCCGCCAGAGCTTTTAAAAGTGCGACTAAGCGAGCATTGCAGTGAAGCACGAAAATGAGTAGAAGCGTTTGTATAAGAATGAAAAAACTCTGTATTATGGCTGTATACATGGTTTCCTGGATATACACAATACTCTTGAATATATACTGATAAATGAGATAAATATTTATATACACAAGTCCTATATACAAAAATATTTACAAATTTTCGGAAAGAGCGCTTTGGAAAGAGTTAGATCTCTTCGCGCCATTTCTGGAAAAAATTAATAATAAAAAAATTTACTATGATTATATTAACAATACAGAAAAATAAGCCTATAATATATACATACACAAAAAATATCTACACAATTACTGAAAATAAATGGGAATGAGACTAAAATGCGTCAGCAAAAAATTCGCGCATGCAGGGGTATTTGTGGGACCCCAAAAAATCCCCTGAAACTTTTACGGACTTACTACCGACACTTTGGAGTTTCTAGAAGGGGGGGGGAGAAATGAAAAATTACAATTATTGAATACAAAGTATTGAATGACCTAATTATAAAAGTTCAATTAATTACTTTTTTGCAAAATAAATAACCATAAATTTTCAAACATATAAACTACTACATTTTATGTAAATATTTTAAATTACCTGAATTAATTCTTAAAAAAAAATTATCTAATTTCTGCTGCTTTTTTTTTATTTTCTGATGTTTGTGGGCTTGTCTTTCTTTTGTGGTGAACTTCATAATTGCAGGAAGGTTGACTTTTATTTTCCTCATTTACAGTTGAAGAAATTTCCCTGAGAACTGCACATGCAGAGGTAGAAGCAGTTTGCTTTTCTGCTAATGTAGAAGGTTTTTCAGAGACTTTTTATAGGTGACTCATCTGAAATACATGTTTTTAAGTCCTCTTAATATGTTTTCCAACTTCTGTTCATATTCAGTAAGACATCTTTGTGAATTGGATCAGTCAGTGGATTTTTTGAGCCATATTTTTCACATGAGGTTTCTTTAGAAGCCATTAAATCTTATTTAATAGTCTGCACTGCATCTAGGGAATCAATCTTAAGAGAGGTTCTATAGTCAGTGACAAGTGTATCCATTAAGTTGAATGCACTTTCCACTAATGGGCCATGGAAGCAGCTAAGGCAGGCTTTGACCAATTTAGCCAATGTAGGATACTTATAATCATTTGTGAAATCATCTTTTAAATTAAAAACTTTAGACCAATATTTATCAATTGTACACTTGACTTGATTTCCACTTTCATCAGATGTGCATTTCTTTGGTGATATCAATATCACTCTGGTATAACCTTATTTCAGCTTCTACTTTTGACTTTTCATTATCACAAAAATATGGGACATAAAAGATGATAATTTTTCAAAAGCTAATATTGTACTGGTTTTACCTCTTAGCTCTGGATCTAATGCTGTAAAACTAATTAGATATGAATTTTTAAGGGGTAATTTCTGTTTCATATGCTGTGCTGTATTAGTATAAGCTTTCATCAGAGAAATTTGGAATTCTTTTGCTATTGGATGATTTTTTGATAATTTCTTCAGGAGAGTGGAAGCTTCTGCACCAGTAAATATTACTTTGCTAGGTAGATGGAATTCTGGATTTGTGACATCAACCTTTAATAAATCATTATAAGATGTGCACTCTATATTTTCTGGCTTCATAAAAAAAAGAAAAATTTTGCCATCAATTTATAAATACTGGAATGTATTAAATGAAGCATTGGTTTTTTTTTTTTTTTTTGTTTCAAATAATTTAATATATGTGTTGAACTCTGGTAATACTGCTGAATATAATGCCATATGCAATAAAGTTTTGTTTTGCATAACAAATAACCCATTTAGTATTCTTTTTTTCCGAGCTAAAGCATCCTTTGTGAGTTGTTGGGAATGCAAGCAAGAATACACCCCTTCAACAATTTTTTTTCTGAGCTGCAGAAATATTTCTTTTATTGTATACAGTTTCAACATAAGAAAAATAATCCCCTTTATCAGTTTTATCCAAGTAGTGAAAATAAAATGCAATACGAGCATCCCACAGATCTTTGATTCTTTCTAAAACACATAAAATGTACACCCACCTATGGTCTGGTCTCTTCAAAGGCTTAAGTTTTTTAATGGCAAGGGATTCACAGATTTTGAAAAAATTTTCTCTTTTTACTGCAGCTTTTCATATCAAAATATATGTCATCAAACAAATCTTCTAAGCATCTATCAAAACATGAAGCAAATTTTTTTGCACAGTTATTAGCTGTGTGACATGTGTCACCATCAATATCTAATAAGTGGGGTGCTTTGTTTGATCGTAGTCTGGTTTCAACACCCTTTTTTTTTTTTTCCACGCATGGTGTTACATGAGTCCATTAATACACTAATTAAGTTTGCCCATGGAATATTATTATCTTCAATAGTATTAACAACTGCTTTAAAAACAGCTTCTGAATTGCAAGATTCCATCTTTAGAGATGCAAAATGATGAACTACAACTTCATTTTGATTGTTGTCATAAAACTGCACCAATATTGCCAGTATACTTTCTTGAGCATTGCTAGTACTTTCATCCAAATTTAGAGAAAATGGAGTCTCCTTTAAAGTTTTAATGATATTTTCCTTAATAGTTTTTGCGAGCCCATATTTCATCTTATAACATGCAGTAGTCCTGGACATTTCCAACGAGTTTAGTGCCGTCTGATCGCGGCTCAACTGTTTGCAGAGTTCAATTAAATTGGGAGCTACATTGAAAGAAAGAGAATTCTCGGCGATAAACGAAGTTATATAATACCTCTTGGCGTGCTTTTCTTGTCACTATATCCAATGGCCGAGCATCAGTCTCCAGTAAGTCATCAGTATTTTTTGAATTAGCATAATTACTTAAAGTCATTGAATGTCTAATGCACTTTGAATATTTTATGTGCGTCACAGTTTTAGAATGATTTGTGAAAGCCTTGAATCCTTCCCCACCATACTTCAGCAGTGAGTTACAAAAAACACAATATGCTTGTCCAGCAACATTTATTTTCTTGCACCATGTGCCGATGGTATCCCCATTACCATCTCTCCGTTCAATCCAATTCCACCTAAATGCATTCCGGACACCTTCTTCTAATTGTATAATATCACTATTTATATCGAGAAATTTCATAGTGAAATTCTCTTGCGTACATAAATAAAAAAAAAAATATTTCAATAAACGAAACGAAAAATTTTACACGTGCATCAATAAATGAAACGAAAATTTTACACAGCGGAGAAAAAAAGTTGAGAAGCGATCAATGACAAATAGCTAATACGGCGAAAAATCCCCCTTCTCTACTTATTGGCGCCACGCCAGGAGAGATAAGACCTTTGAATTTGAACCCAGAGTCACGTGATCGCACATCTGGTCGAACGAAGTCTCTCCCTTTTTTTTCTGCCGCGCCTACTTGCCGAAAAGAATCCAGAAGAGAATGTCCGAGAACCGGGG